AGCATCTGTGGAGGAGAAAACAGAGTTAACGTTTCTGGTCTGGTGACTGAGGAAGGGTCACCGGACCCGAAACATTAACTCTGTTTTCTCCTCCACAGATGCTGCCAGACCTGCTGAGCTTTTCCAGCAACTTTGTTTTTGTTCCAGCATCAGTACCTGTTTGTTGCTAGGAGATGAAGTACTTTTTAACTGTCTCAAAATATTGAGTATCTACAGTCTTGCTCCTCTATTGTGACTTTTGATGAGTTGAGAGTCAACCCTGATGGGAGTTACTACGTTCAGACTATTTGAAAAATGTTGAATGCCCCTATTAATATGTGTCTTGAAAGATTGTGGAAGATCAAGATTTGTGTATCAAATTACCAAACTGGTAGGATATAGTTTGTGTACAAAAATCTCATTGTAAACCCCATAAGTGCTAATTTAGTGAACTGGATATACCCAAATCATCATCTGATGTTTGGTTGCTTTTAAGACCGAGGAAATGGGAATCGGGGTGGTAGTGGGGGATTTCAACACCAGGGGCACATTTTTAAACGGAGAGGAGAGAGATTTTTAAAGACATGAGGAGCAAATTTTGCACACAGAGTGGGTCGCGTGTGGAATGAACTTTGTGAGGAAGTGTTGGATGTGGGCACAATTACAACATTTAAAAGACACTTAGGTAAGTACATGAATAGGAAGAGTTTGGAGGGAGAGGGTACTGGTTTAGATTGGGATTATGTTCAGCATGGACTGAAGGGTCTGTTTCCATGCTGTATGACTCTGGTGGAAATCCTAGCTGCCATCCACCAGCCCGACCTTGTTTTGGAATGCCACTGCAGGAACAAGTATTACTGATCCCTCCGCTACATTGTTTTGCCCTGTTTTCACCACGCGCTGCTGGTAAACTGACTCACACCACAGGCCACAAGGACGTTTGCATGACCTTGACTGGTGCGTTTTCGGAAAATTCTTTTCTGGAGCTGAAATTCAGAAATAAATTTTAAGGCACAGCCCCTGTTTATTTAAAGTTAAAGAAATGCAGCATCGGAGTTGGCCTTAGCTGAACACACCTGCAGTATTTTATGATTCTAAAAGAAATTGCGTGTCATTTATATGAAGTGGCAATCCAGTGATCTTTCTGCTTTTTTAAAAGCAAAATCATTTTCTTAAAGTGCATTAGTGAGTGGTATTAATTCCTTCAGCTTGTGGCATAGCAATCACATGCTGGTGTGGGTAGGTCTCTGTGCCTTTTTTATTGGGTTTACACACTAAACATTTTGAACTTCACTGTCGTCAGTATTCAGACTAGGAATGTGTGCATTCCAGATAACAGAGCCTCTAATTCAACAATATATTTTTGTTTAAAAAAAAAAGAGCTGCAAATTAGACTCAACCATTGCAGTACCTGTGCCTCTTTGTGAAGATGGGCGGGAAGTTGGGCTGTACAGATAGGTAGTGTACACCCTCAGAGCAACGTTGGCTTAGTAGCGTGCACAATTGTGATTTCACACAGCATGTATATATTTCTTCACAAAGTACAGTCCACTCTTGGTACCACCAGCCTGGCCTAAACGTGATGGAAGGTGTCAGCCTAACAATTCAATAGGGTGGTAACCATGAGCCTTGAGTGTAGTCACCTCTCCAGCTTTTATCGCGCTTCTTAGAGTGAAATTAAATAACTAAATTGGCTCTCAGTTGTTCCAAGGAGTCATTCTCTCAACGATCAGCAATGTTTGAGATCCTAGGTAATTACTGTCCCTTACCATATTAAATTGCTGATGTAGCTACATTAACTTTCAAACAGTGACTGGTTTGTTGGGTGGAAATATTTTGGAAGTTGATGCCATGCATGTTGAATCTCTCATTTTTGAAATTGCGTTTTGATAAATTTGACACAACCAGGCAAAAATCTAATCTGACATATGGACCAGTGTCCAAATAGTTCTTTTAAATGTTGGATTGTCTCTCATTTACAACAATGTTTTGTATATCCCCTTGATGAAGGGAAGGGCTCTGAAAATACCAAGGAGTCATACATTGGTTTTTCAGATTCTGGCAGTCTCAAATTTCCCAGCTGAGCTTTAGTTTTGGGCATCAGTTCTTTTTATGATGAACAAAGGGACCAATGTAATTTTGTTCTCTCTCAATGAATAATAGCAGGGCACTTATTAACCTAGCTCAGTAATTGAGCAACAGTGCCCAACGTCACTGTTGCTATAGGAACATAAATTTCAATTGGCAATGGAGAATATGAAATGAAGGTTCAGAAACAGCTTGTCAGCCGAATAAAGCTCATCCCCTTTTCCCCCTCTGGTGTTGTGCCCCCACAACCCAGTATTCACGCTTTTCTTCCTCCCAGCAGCCACAATAATATGCTGTTGTGTCACTTTGCCTCACCTGATTAAGTTTTTTGTAAGTCATTCATGGGATGTGGGCATTGCTGCCTGGGCCAAGCATTCATTGACCATCTCCTTAAGGTGGTGAGCTGTCTTCTTGAACCACTTCAGTCTGTTTTGCGCAGGCCGATCCAGAATGCCATTCATGAGGGTGTCCCAAGATCTTGGCCCAGCGGCATTTAAGGAATGGAATTAGTCAAGCGTATAACAGAACTAACCAATTCCTCCTGTCACCATTTTCGATTTACTACTTTTTCACTTCCACGTGGGTAGTCATTCTGGATTGTGAAGAATACTGAACTGCCCTTTTTCTACCCATAATGCCTTGATTCTGCTAGTGTCCAAATATCAACTGTTTCAGTCTTGAATAGTGTGACCATCCATAGCCCTTAAGTGATGAATTCCAAAGGTTTACAACCTTCTGAGTGAAGAAATTTCTCCGTCTCCATTATGACCTCTAGTTTTACACTGTCCAGCTAGGCCTAATTATGTTGAAGCATCTACTTTGTCAAGCCTGCTCAAACTCTTCCACATTATCAATGATGTCCCCTCATTCTCTTAAATTCCAGAATATATGAACCCGTTCCCGTAGGACAGCCCTCTGATCCAATAAATCAATCTCAAGCACTTTTTTTTAATATAATCCTTCAAAGGCAGGTACGTTCTACTGTGGAACTGAGGAAAATTCTACATTATACACAGAATTGGTCCCTTCAAACCCTACATAATGGCAGCATACCTTTTATCTATTATACTCCAACCACCTTGCAATAAAAGTTAGTCATTTTCCCTTTAATTATTGTTTACTGTACTTACATGTCAACATTGATTTGAGCCTGAGGGCATGGAAGTCCTTCTGAATGCCAACATCTGCTTGTCTCTCACCATTTAAAAATGTATTGCTTTTTCCATTCCAGCTATCTATTGTGATAATTTACATTCCCACACAACTTCCATCTGCCATTTTCTTTCCCACCTTAATTGATTTACTTGCATTTCTTTGTACCCCTTTTGCCCTCACTTTATCACAGCACCTCAACTTTTTTTTGTAGACCGCTGTTCAAGTTTCCTTTTAAAATGAATATTGTGGTATGTTGCTAAAAACTGAATTAATTGTTGGGCCTTAGCATTACTTCTTAAAATTGTTGAGAGTCCATTATTTTCTATTGTGTTCTCTGCCATGGTGAGCAGCAGCAGTTTACTTGGTGAGCTTGTCCTTTTGTTTTGGCAAATGAAGGGCACAGAGATATCGAAGACAAGTTTGCAAAGCATGAATGTGGTCATTTAATAATTTTGTGGGGCTTCCAAATTATTGATTTTCAGGTTTTCCTTTCTAAATCAGTTTTGGCTTTTGCTCGAGTTATTGCTACGTAAGTACTCTTGCATTCTCCAACATTAGGTGCAACTAAAGTATCTGCTATTGATATCAGGTTAATGGATCTATAAATTATCTAAGGTAAATTAAATATAAAAGGATGACTATGTATT